CGAGTCTTTGTTGCTGTGCTTACTACAGAACATTTGTAAAGTATGCAATTTCAAGAATCGCAGAACAATCACATCTGATGTTTCCCACTAACGAGGAATCCGCCGATGTCAAGCCATATATTTCGGCTTCTTTTTTCGTCAATTCCCAGCATTTTTGTCGTGAAACCGTTGCTTGGAATGGGATTTTGGGGTAAGCGGGCAGTAGCGCTTTGCCTTTGCTGCTATTCTGCCTGCGAGTGCTTTGCTGTACTTTCTCAGGCCGATAGTATCATACTTTCAAATTCTCTTTAATTAGCACAACGAGTAAATCAGTGAGAGATCAGTTACAGGTACCAATGTAACACGGGAAATCGGTTAGTTATATAAATGTGCATGAGACTACCAGTGCTTGGATTTCTGCCTTTCTTGGACCTCGCTAAAGTCTACAGTTGTTTTTAACATGAATTTATGATAGACGCCTGAAGTCTTTTAACAGGAAAATCAAAACTCGTCGACTTCCACACCCCTCCCCAGTTAAACGAGATTTCCCTTGACGTCTCCTTTTTTTTTGAAAAAAAAAAAAAACTTTTTCCTGCTCTGAAAAATTTTCATTTTCCTCCTCACCTCAATTTATTTACAAAAATTCACTGAGCATCATCATTAGCCCAACTTATTTCCGATTTCCCTATCGCCTGCAGCGGGCCCTGTTCTAGGATTGTGGTGTGCATACTCTATCACAAAAAATTTACAGTTCCTCACCAAACAGGAAAAAGGAATTACGGTAAAAATAAACAGACATATAACAGTAATACAATGTCACATTTAAAACGAAAATATGTAAAAAAAAGAAAAATTGTCGAGAAAATAAAAGGCCTGTCAAAAAAGTAAAACTGCTGTGGTGTAGTAGCACATTTTCTGCCCTGTTAAGGGAAGAACGATTGCCCCAAAAAGTGTGAAATTAAGTATCGAGGCGCAAAATTGGTAAAAAAGTAACTAGTCGAGTTTAAGCACTGAAAAATACGAATAACTCGGCCAGGGAAGGCAAAATAATCGGGAATTAAAGTTCACAAAAATGTTACTGTAAAGCAGCTGTAGTGCAAAAATAGTAAAGGACACTGTGGACGGAGAAGTCAGTACCACTGGGGTGTACCTTCCGTTAATTGTTAGCTGACACACACCACTGATATGATAAAATCGAATTTAGACTGAAACCGACAAAAGTAAATGACGTATTTGAGAGGGGAAATATA